AAGAAAAGCTTCTGTGTTCCAAACTTCTCAAATTTATATTTCTTCTAGTCCTGCAGGAGAAGCCTCATCCCCCTCACTAGTGTTTCTATCCAGCTTGAGACCTCAGCTGCAAAATGTGGCCCAGGCCCGGATTTTATGCCACTTGTCCTGTGTACTGACTGTGTCCCTGCAATGGATTTGCTCACTTTGCAGCTGCATCTTCAAAGAGGTATTGAAGCTTCCACAAACATAATTTGTGAGAGGTCTTGCAGATTTTTTACTCTCACACAACATCCTTTGCTACCACATAGGAGAAATGAGAGTTCCTATCTTGATTGCAAACCCTTTTTCCAGTGTCTGAGAAGGACTTGCATATTAGAAAGGACCTAAGTGATTAGAAGTATATATCTGATGTCAGGCAGGCTGGCAGCTAGGACTGGGGGTGAAGTGAGGGCACTGAAGAGGACAATCCTACTCTGTTAATGCTCTGCTCTTCCCATGTTCACTGCTATTTGGGATCAGCACCTTGCAGCAAGGTGATTCTTCTCCCCATATAAACTTTTCCCAGAACTCACTGGAAATGCAGTGAAATTCTTTACACTTTTTCCTACTTAATTAGAGAAGGATTTAAATAAGCAGTGGCCCTTCCCCTTCTCACTTACACCCATACATAGCTGTAGCTTTGTTCTTCCTTCAGGGGAGGTGCACCCGACACAATCCTCCATGTCCATCACAAACAGGAGTGAGGCAAGCCAGTGCACGGTAACTGCTGTAGGGATTGGCTGTGGGGAGAGGGGGGAGGAGGGAACAAATTACACCACAAACAGGAGGGGGAAAATCATATCAGGGATGGGATGTGGACACAACAGCAAAGATGGAGTTATCACATCTTCTGAGATGTGAACAAACTCTCTACTGAGATGTGTTTTCTGGAGTGTGGCCTTGTGAGGGAGCAGGTATTGTCCTGCCCTCCTGATCCCAGCCTGCCTGCTGTCTGCACAGGGTGCTGGTGGAGGATGGGACAGGTGAAGCTGTGGTGCTGTGCAGGAATGAACATGTGGCAGCAGTGCTGGGCCTGAGCCTTCTGGAGTGGGAAGCTGTGCAGAACTGTGTGCAGAGCAGGGGCAGCGTGTGCATTCAGCACAGGGAAGCTCCTGGAACAGGGGTGAGTGGGCTATTCCAGCAGCAATTGCAGCCTGCTGGGCTCAAGTCTCGGCTGGACAGGATTTCCCTTTGCTCTGGGTGTTGCAGAGCCTCCCTGCCTCCCACTGAACACTCCCTGGCAACACACTCTTTCCTTCCTCAGTGTCTAGAGGAACCTGAAGATCTTGTTGCTCACTACCTAAGGAGTCTGTGCAGAAGTCCTCTCATATGTCGCCCTATCCTGTTGGATTTCAGCCTAGACAGGAAGCCCTCCAAGATCCTGCAGCCTGGTAAGCAAGTACTGCTGGCTTTTCTAATATTTGGGGTGGGAAGGAAGGGAGGAGGCATCTCACCAGGCTGGGGAAGGAGAGGTGCCTTCGCTGCCCATCATAGCAAGATCTTTGAAGGATTTTCCTGGAATTTTGTATTCTGTAGTGTAGAACTAAGTTGTGTCTTAGTAGATCCATGGCTATAAAGTAGAGAAATAATATTATGGAAATTCCTAAAACAATATAGGATATTTTTTTCTACTTCACACATAAAACTGTTCTTGAGAAAGATTCCCAGTCCTTGTCTGGGACAGGAATCTGATCAGCCAGAGTTACTGTGCAGGCTTCTCAAATCAAGTGGGTTTTGACTGTAGATAGGATGGCATGTAGGGTCAATAGCAGGCCTGGAAATCCTCACCTGGAAATCAGCACTGAAGTGTTTTGAATTCATGAGTGCCGAGGTCTGAGCTCATGCTGCCACAACTGTGCAGTTGCTGTGTGAACGGGACATTCTTCACACCAATTCCTCACACTGTTTGCACACATACCTAGAGCTTAAGTTTGAGTGCAGGTGCTGCAGGGGTTGATTTGCTGAGCTCACCAGAGGATGCTCTGCAGTGGAGACTTTCTGGCTGTCATGTACACTGTAAAGGCAGGTTGCTGAAACTGATAGAGGATACAAAGCTCAGAGCATCAGCTCTGTAAGCACACACTTCACAGCATTCATTTCACAGTGTAGAATGTCTGTTTCCTGGAGGTTGGAGGGATGCTGGCAAAATGCATTCCTCTGCCTACATCCTGGAGTCATTCACCGTGCTGTCCTTTGAGGTTTGGCAGATGCCAAGCAGCTGCTGCAAGGCCTTCCCTCCCCCAGCAGCTTGTGCAACTGTGGGCTAGAGCAGAGCCAGAGCCCTGTCCTGAGTTGTTCCCGTTGTATCCTTCCCCTGCAGCTCCCCTGCAGCTGCGGAATTTTCGCTGTGGTGACGTGGAGTTTGTGTCACGAGTGAGGCCTCGTCCGAGCCTGCTGTGCCTGAAGGTGGAGGAAGTGGGACAAGATGCCTTAGGCTACCTGAACAGCCAGAGGATGAGCAGGACATCCAGTTCCTGCTGAGTGGAAGCCATGGCTTAATATCTCTCCCAGTGGGAGAGGAATTATGGAAATACCTACTGCAATCAGGAGCTTTTTAATTCTCCTTTCAGTGGGAGCACAAGCCTGAAGGGTGAGCAAAGGGTGAAGGGTGCAGTCAAGCAGCTGCTGTGACTTGTGGAATTCCTGAATGGTCACTCTGAGCCATTGTCAACCAGTCACTCTGGGCTACATTTTGGAAGAGAGATGTTCAGTGCTTCCGATGTGACAGCTCTTGCCTTGGGCCTAGGGCATGCAGTGTGTGCATTTGGTTTTGTAGTATCTACTAAATAAAGCTATGAAAATATTACTTAAAGAATACTGTATCTGTTTTAGTCTCTTTTTTAGTATTCAGTTTTCCTTGCTGTATGGTGACCATTAACAAAACTATACAGTTCCCACAGGGTATGGTCTTCTTAACCTAATTGAAATAATTAAAATTACACTTTTAAAGCATCTCCTTCAAGAAAAGAAGGGAAGTGAGTCAGCTGCTGTTTGGAGACTAAATCACAATGCTAAATGACAAGATTATTTGGGCATTGTTTTGCAGTTTATCAGCAGCAGCCTGAACATGAGGTGGGGCTGGTAAGAAGAGGCAGGCACTGAGCTGTGATACAGACAGTGGTTTTACTGGGCAGGAGTGAAGTGCCTTCCCCCTCAAGGCCTGCTGTCCACTTCTGAGACCAAAGTGTGAGTGGCACAAGACTTGATAGATGCCACCATTCAGTAACGTTGTGAGACTCCATCCTAAAAGGTTGCCAGAATAGTTTAAAGCTGAAGTCTTTGCAAAAGTTGCTGTGACAGCTTTACTTTCTGTGGGTACTTTCTGCAGAACAGAAAAGATTTTACTAAAGCTTCTCTCCACCCTCCAGAAAGAAAGCAAAACAAAACCAAAAAAACCCCAAAATAAACTATCTCAGTCTGAGGAAAATGTTGACTGTAAGTGATAAGACAAAGATTAAAATCTGGTTAAAAAGTGCAACTGAAAGTAGTCTAGTAATATGAATAACACAGTAGCAGACAGAAATAGATAGGAAGTACCTGATAACACTTATTTAAGAAACAAAAAAGAAAAATTCAGCTCTATTATTATATCTGGATCTAATAACTGTAATAACTTGAAGCTTCCAGTAGTATCTTACTAGTCTCCTTTTCCTCCTCATTCTGTATGTTAGTTTTCTGTCTGCTGTCTGCTTATCTGTTCCTCTTTCATTTCACATTACAACTGCAATCATCACTCCTCATACAGGACTTTAGATGTGGTTTGTCTTTGCCAGGATATTCCAAACCTGCTGGCAGTTTTCTAACCCATCGCTGTTCTGCCATTCACATCTTTTTCAGCAGGGGAGTTTGATTTTAGCACTCCAAGAAGATGAAGGAGGTTAACTGCCTCTCTTATTTACAGTTTTATTGGTACAGTCAGAGAATCACAAGACAAGAGATGGGCGAATCAAATCTGTTTGGGGGGAGTTAAGATTTGCTTGCTTTTAGTACTCTGAAGGAGCCATTCTCAGCTCTATTGCGGGAAACCCTTTTCCTGTTTGTGTCTGAACTTCTGCCCATGATCAGAGAGTTCTGGTCACTGTTAGATCAGACAAGGGAACATATCTTGTCCTACAATCAGAACTTTTCCTTTATGCAATTCTCCTTATCACATTCCTTGCTCTCTTTGTGAAGCCAAACAAAGTATCCTGTTGCTGGTGTGGGTAAGAAATGATAACACAGGAAAAATCAGCTAATTTCATGTTTGTACTACAGTGTACTCTGGAAGCAGCAGGAACTCCTAAAGCCCTCAGCCCCATAGGGAGGAAAGCCTGAAGTGAGTCCTGCCATCAACGTAGCTGTAATACCTGTGTGGAAAGACAGACGTGTTCCTTTCAGCTGATTTTCTTTAGCTCACCCTTTCACCAGTTTCCCTCCAAGTCCTACCAGCCAAAGCCAATAAATACTGAAGGCAGCTGTCCTGTGCTTTGGCTCCTTATTTCCTGTGTAAGCCCTCCTTATTTCAGGTCTGCAGGGAATTGCTCAGGCTGGCAGCTCCCTCTAGCCATGTTCAAGGTGTCTGTAGTATTTACTGGAGAGGCTTGTACTGTAGCAGGTCTTGTGAGCAGGGGGGAGAGGAACAAGCCCGTGCTGCCTTGCAGCCATGAACTGCAGCCCAGGTCCAGAGGGTGCCCAGGAAAGAAAATGAGAGGACAAGTAAGAGTTGACAGTTGCTGGTGCAAGAGAAGGATCTCTGTGGTTGCCAAAAGTGATGGGAGAAGCCTGTGGGAGGGACAAGCTATGTGTCCCACCGAAAGGTGGGGATGGAGAAAGGACAGGCAGAGGGGAAAGACATGCACTCCCATTCTGGCAGTCTTGAGATAGGTCTGCTGCTGTAGCCCAACGCCCTAAGAGGGCCTCTGTATATTGTATGTATAAGAGTTTCTCTTCCCAAGCTTACCTGCAGGTCCAGCAGAGTTCCCAATTGCTTTACAGAGGCTTTATATTGACAGCAGGTATAAAGGAAGCAGAAGCATCCAGTGACAGGCTGGAAAGGAGGATGACACTGATTCTGCATTCAGGTTCACCAGCTGCAAGTTGGTCACCTTTGTAGTGCTGAAATCTGTAGCAGAAGAATTGTGAGAGGCTACCAGAACAGAAACACAGCAGGGAAGGCAAAAAAAGTGTGTATTTATTCCTTCCCAATTTTCTGAATATGGATGAAGATAGACACTGCCTCTTATACTGGAGACCAATTGCAATGAAGTCCTGGCTGTAGAAGCATTCTGGTCCTTCTCATGTAGAACAGGAGAAGATTCTCAGAACCTTTGTAAAGCTTGGGTTTTTTTGTGAGAAAAATGGCTTTTAAAATAAAGGGATTGGGCTGGAGTCAGAGGTATTGTCACCAATAACTGCTAAAGGGGCCTGTTGGTTTGGTACACGAATGTGATCTAAGATGAACTGGCTAAAGAAAGTGTCAAAAGATGTGAGGCTTGGTTGGTTGGTTTGGTTTTGGTTAACATTCCAAGCAATACACTCCTTTGAAGTGTGTCCCTCTTTCTGATCCCCTGGCAGTTCTGTCCCCTAGCAAAGGTGACAATCAATACCACAAGAAGCATTTGAGATAGCAGGAGCAAACACAGACCCTTTCATTCATCCCAGGGACAGAGAAGTGGTTGGATTAGCCATGCTTTCAGTCCCTTCCTTGCCTGATACAGCTGCTGCAGGAACCCCCTGGTGCACCAGGAACACTGCTGATACTCTCCCTCATGCCTGTGGTCTCAGGGTGCTGTCAAGCCCTACCTGTCACTCTGATGTTGACCACAGCCTTGGCAATGCTGTTTTCCATCACGCAGGTGTAGGTGGCATTAGCAGTGATGTTGTGCAGGAGGGAAACCACCTTCACAGTGATGTTTTCGGGGTTCAGCTGGTAGCTGGTGTTGGCAGTGCAGGGCAGGTGCTCCCCAGTGTCACCGCAGGCCATCCAGCGCACAGCAGGGCGAGGGAACCAGCGCGGGGCTCCGCACTGCAGCGTGCCCCCGTGCCTGCTGTGCTCCACTTGCACCACAGGCGTGCTGAAGGCTTTGGGAAGGAGGCAAAACAGGGAGACACTCAAAACAAGGCAAGTGATAGGAACCTGGCTTGAATTACCCAACTGCATCTACCAGTCCCAGGCATTTCTAGGCTGCTTGCTGCTTGGCAGCACAGCACTGCCTGGAGCCAAGCCAAAAACAGGCTCAGACAGAGCTCTGTACAGATTGGGCTGTGGGAGGATGAGTACAAGGGATCCAAGGACTCCTAGGACATAGCAGTCCAGCTTGACAGGATCTGCTGAGGTCGTGACACAGCTTTAGTGTCTTTTAGTTATTCTTAATAATGGGGGAAAGATGATTCACCCTCTCCACTCACTGAGAAGGGGGCTGGGCCAACACCTATGGCTTCACAGAGTTGCAGAATCATTAAGGTTGGAAGAGACCTTTAAGATCAAGTTCAACTGTTAGCCCAGAATTAAGTCCACAACTATACCATAACCATAAATGCATGTATTTTAAATCTCTAGGGATAGTAGGTGACTCCACTACATCCCTAGGCAGCCTGTTCCAGGGCTTGATAACCCTTTCCATGAGCAAATTTTTCTTAATATTAAATCTAAACTTCCCTTGGGGCAACTTGAGGCCATTTCCTCTCCGGAGCAATCCCCTGCAGACCTGTAATAAGGAGGGCTTACACAGCCAAAGCACAGGACAGCTGCCTTCAGTATTCGTCCACTTTTGTTTTGGCTGGTAGGACCTGGAAGTGAACTGGTGTAAGGATGAGCTAAAGAAAATCAGCTGAAAGGAACATGTCTGTCTTTCCACACAGAACAGGTATTACAGCTGTGCTGGAAATAAAACCCATTACAACATTTCACATGTTCTTTCTAATGCCTTTTCTGTGTAGATTACTTTAAACATCCAATCAAGCAACACAAAAGTAGGCAGAGCCACAAGGTTTGAAGGAGGGATAGGGGACCAAGTCTCAGTGGAACATTTGCAACCCTCAGGCTTGCAAAACCCTCTTTCACTTGGAGAGGTCTGAGGGCTTTTCCTCACCCAATGTGAGCTGTAGGACAGGAATTCTGGCCACAGGGATGAGAGGGAAGGGTGCAGTCTGGAGGAGACCTACAAGGGGTTCATCCCTCAGTCTCAACATGAGGTGACCGCTTGGGAGGTGACTTGTTATTACAGCTAAATTCATCTCACTGGAAGAGGCCAAAGACCTGGTGGTTTTCAGATCTCTCCTGGAGGACTGACTCTTGTAAATATGTAACATTTCAGGTAAGTATGATATCAGAGGTTTGTTGCTTTGGTAGTAATTTTAAAAAACCGAATACTTCAGAAAAGCTGAGAAAAATATATTAAATACACTACAGTTTTTACTATGCAGCACTTCTGGCTGGAGATACATCCTAATTCAAGAGAGAAAAAGCTACGATGTTATCAAGAGTATAACCTTTTATGGAACAAGGGTGTCAAAAGAGGGGTTAAGGCCATAAATATCCTGTAAAAGCCAGAAATACACCCTACTCAGGGGTGTAGCAGCATCACAAGCACAGGTAGGTGCAACCAAGTGACACTAGCATATGTTTTGCAGCAGGATTTTGCTCCTTGTAGCCCTCACCTCCTGTCCTGTACCGCAGCACCGCTGCTCCACTCCCTCTGGCTGTGGTGACAGAGCACTGGTAGGTGCCAGCATCGGAAAGCTGCACATCCCTCAGCTCCAGGGAAGCATTCCCGCCGATCACCTGGTCCGCAAACATGGCCGTGCGGCCCTGAAATGATGGATCCTGCTCTTGCAGGTGGTCCTTCCCACCCTTAAACTCGTGAACCAGCCCAGCTACCCCCTCCTTGGCCCACTGGATTGCAACGCTGTCCATCCGGATGTCGGGCTCAAAAGAGCAGCCCAGGATGCTGCGCTGGCGAATGTTCCCTGGAGAGGTCAGCGCCGTCACACTGATGGAGTGTTTTCCTGCAAGGAGAGAGCAAGGAGGCTGGAGAAAGGTGAGGCAGCAAGCCTGGAGAAAGGCCAGACTGCCCTGTGGCTGTCATGGACCAAGCCCGAGGCTGAACAGTCACTGGCACACAGCAAGGCCTCCAGTGGCTGCTACCAGTGCTGCTGGTAGAGGCCAGCTCCCACAGACTGTATGCCATGATAAAGCACAGGAGTATTTCTGTAGCAAAAGAGTGCTTCAAAAAGTAGCTCTTCTTACTTGTTTGAGAAGAATTCACATGGTATTTTCTTGTTTACTTATATATATCAGGGATTTTTCTCTTTGCAGCTGCCAGAAAAGCATGATTTTTATGTCTTTTCTTAGTCAGGACCTCCCTTAATGTGATTGGAAGGCATAATGCTGGCAGAGAAATAGCAGCTCTTTCCCCCTTACTGAAATCCAAATATTTTTCTTTCATTTAAGAAAAGGGAGCATCTGAAATCCTAAGCTGCAAGCCTGAGAATTCCCAGAGCCAGGCTCTCTTCCCCATGCAGCCCTTCCCTACCCATCCTCACTCAGCACATTCCAAGGAAGCTGCATTTTGGCCAACACCAAAACAACACATTTTTGTTGTCTCTGAGGGTCCTGGGAAAGGCGCCCCATCCTGGCAGATGCTCTCTGATTTCACAATAAATACCATCCCATCATCTCGTCCTATCCAGGAGAAGGAGCAGAGAATGTGCAGGACTTTATGTGTAGGTTTGGGGCTCCAAGCCCAAGGGAATTTCAGCTGCCACACCACTACACCTCCAGCAGCACAGGCTGCACTACCCCTGCCTAGCCTTTGTTAAAGGGTGGTGGGTGCCACTTCCACACATGATCACACCTCAGCCTGTGCACGGGATGGACACACAGAGGTAGAGGCAGGGCAGAAGTTCATCATCCCACCAGTCCCACTGCAAGAAATCTGAGCAGTCACACACCTGAGACACCAAAACCAATGATCAGGGCGATCACTGCAGCCAGGATGACAATGGCTGTAGTCATGCTGTTGGGGAAAAAGGAAAGGACAGCATTAGCACAGACCCCACCTCCTTCACAGCCCATGCTGTACCGTCCATCTGCAGAGCTGTCTGCAGGAAGGAGGGGGAGGCAGGTGAGCCACAGACCCAGAATGAGGCAGATGGGTAAAGCACATCACCACAATAGGGATGAACATTGAACATGCAGGTGAGCAGCCCTTGTCATCAACAGTGGGGACCATGTGGCAGGAGACCCAGGCTTGGCCTTTGAGAGCAGGAGCTGGCCCCAGTGCAGGATGCTTCTCTCTGCATTCCCTGGCACATAACTAAGTCAGACAGACCTGCTGGTGCTTGTGAGCAACCAGGGGGTGAGCAAAGCCCCTGAGCCCAGGAGACACCAGGTACAAGGCAGGGAATGTGCAGGAAGGATCTGGAAACAGGGCCATTTTTTGGAGCTGGTTGGATTTGGGATGCTCCATGTGGGGATGGGTAATGGGCTGTTGAATGAGAGACTGAAGAGGAGAGGACCACTTGCCAAGCCACACAGTTGAAGCAGCCGTGCCAGAGAAGAGAGGCAGCATGTCATGGATCAGCAGAGCTCCAGCTTTCCCAAGCACCTCCTCTCTGGCACAGCCCAGCTTGGACAGACCCAGAAGCACTGCTGGCTATGGATTCCCACCACAGCCAGTGGAGCTGTCATGTGGTCACAGGAACATTTCCCTGTGGACTGAGGGGCTGTGGCAGCAAACTCAGCTCCCAGCCAGAGCAAGGCCTGAAGCAGCTCCCCACAAAACCCACAGGTACATCCTGGAGTTTGTGCCCAGCAGTCTCACAGAGACTCCTCACAGAGAAGAAGCCCAGAGAGCTGCAGGCTGTGAGAGGTCACAGCCCTTCTGCCCACACAAAACCAGCTGCTCTGCTTCAGCAGCATTTACTGGTTTGCAGCACAATTTTGCCAACACAAAGCTGATGGGCAGCCTCCTGCAGGACAGTCCATCTAGGACAGGACACGTCCCTACAACCATGGACTCCTCCCACCACTGGTGTGTGCCTGCATCTGTGACTTGCTCAGTTTCCACAGATGCCATGATCACAGGGCTGATATGAACTCCAGAGAATCATACCATGTGAACAAGCCTCTCCCACAGGGAGCAGCAGGGAGGGGAGAAAGGGAAGAGGGAATAGAGAAACAGGGAGATGTTGCAGACTTATTTGACCTCCCACTGTCTCCCTTGCATTCTCATCCTTAAAGCCAGTGGGAAGTTGTCTGAGGAAGCCCAGTTTGCACATGCTCAGAAGGGTACCAAAATATGTGGTACCTCCAGATAAGGGCTCACACAAATCCATTTACACATTCACATCCATACCAAGCTCTGCCTAGATGCCCTCAGAGCTGGGAGATGTCACATTTGGCTTCTTCCCCATTGTCAGCAGCTTTCAGTCATGGCTGGGATGAACAGCAGTTCCCCATCTAATCCCTCAAGGTGGATCACAGCTGACCCTGCTGGGAGAAAAGTCATGGATATCATCCAGCCATGGGCACCAGGCAGCTGGGGACCCAGGCACTGCCTCCCCCAGGGGCCTGCAGATGGGGAATTTGATGGCTCCTATGGATTCTGACGTGTGACAGCTTTCAGCAAAGGCTCACCATGTCCCACAGGACTCAGTCCTGAGTCACTCAAGGTCCCAGCCAGGCTTACAGTGGGACAGCCTGTGCTTTCCTGTTCTGGGGAAGATGCCAAGTGTTTCATGTACACTGAATAACACCCATCTCCTTGAGGAGTTCTACTAATTTCCACTCTGGGAGTTGATCCCAGAGTGAGATAGCTGCTATAAACTCAGCCAAGGTTGTCATGACAAGCCTCAGCTCTCACACCTGGGAATCACAAGCAAGCAGCAGCCACACTGTGCTGACTCACAACAGTTGTGATTCATCTTTATCCCCTTATCTTACAATCCTTCTTCCCAAGGACAGGCAGAGAAGAAAGTGCTCAGAATTGAGGGATGCTGCCAGAGGGTTACAGTAAATGCTAGGAGGTATGGCAGAGGGACAAGTAGCCAGGATGTCCTCCTGTGCAGTCCCTGAATGCTTCAAGTGCCACCACACTTGCCTCTAGTCCTTGAAAGGACACTCTGATCTGAACACCACCTCTCACACTCACACTCACAACCCTCACACTCATCTGTCCAAAACCATCCTCAGCTTACTCACAGACAAACACAAACAAGCACAAACAGGCCACACCAATGCTTTTGTCCTGTGCAGGTGCCACCTGCCCCCATGGCTGCAAATCATTGCTGGCTTTGCACCCAGAGAGTGGCTACCCACCCTGCTCCAGAGCACCAGCAGGGCTGATTGGAAAAGCTGCACAGGGGGAATGGCAATTTTGGGTATACAGAGGCCACTGCCTACTTCAACATCCCTTGTGAGGGACAAGGAGAAATTAGTCCCTCTGGAGTTTCCTCTGCAGAAACTGCAAGACGCAGGAATCACAAGATTCTTACAAACATTTGCTGTGTGCCCACCATGTGTAATGAGTAGATCTGGCATGCAGAGTGAATGAGAGGAACCTGGCATCCTAGCCACAGGCTGGTGGTAGCTGTGTCTTGCAGCAGTCCAGTTCAAGCACTCCAAGCAAGAAGCAATTTTCTGTGCATCAGCACCCCTGGTACCTCCAATGTTTTAAAGGCATAGAAACAGACTGATGTGGGTGGCTGAGGTGCACCAGTCGGAGCCCTGACACCACCCTCAGTTCCCAGTGCCCATTTGGCAGCCTGTGGGATGCTGCTCTGTGCCTCCTACCCTATTTTCCATAGTCTTGTTCCTCACCAGTCAAACTTGGAATCAAATTTGGCATTAAATGAATCCATTCATTCCCTGCCTGAATGCTGCTGATCACAGGCCAGGGACAGGGAGAGGCTCACAGCCTGGCTGTGATAGGCAACAGTCCTAATTCTCCAGATCTCTAGCTCCACTTGGACTAAGCTTTCCCTCAGGAATGGGCTTAGAGGGTCAAAAGAACTGGAAGATTAGGATATTGAGGGTCCCTTGCCTTCCTCTTTATAGCAAAGTTTACTGTGGAAAAGAAATGGCAGTGGTAACCCAAACCAAAAGGGTTTCTATTCCAATATGCAGATGGTGATTGCAGAACCCAACTTTCTCCAGCCCTTCAGGGAGTTTTGTTGTTGTTGCTTTTGTTGGGGATTTTTTTTGTTTTGGTTTTGTTTCCTTTGTTGGTTTTGTTTTTTTCCTGAAATCAGCAGAAATCTCCCACTGCTTTTCTGAAACTTCCTGGAAAATTCACCCCCCTCTCTGGTCTGATTCTGCATTTCAGGATTAGCCTGAAGAGCAAATGCCCCTGAAGGAAGCCTGCTTCTCCCAGTAAACTGCGGCTGCTTGGCAGGGCAGGCAGAGGCACTGGCAGAGCAGGAGGAAGGTTTTCACAGCAGCAATGTATAGATGAGCATTTTTTCACACCCATCAGTTACTTCATTTCCCTGACAAAGGCTGGCTGGGCTGCCTCTTGAGAATAACAGAGCTGGTTATTGCATGCATTCCAGACACATGAGGAATACAGTGCCCAGGGAATATTTACACCCTGACACTGTGTCTACAGGCAACCCCACTTCTGCCAGTGAAAGGGTGCAGATAATATTGCTATTTAGTGCTTCCTTGATGCTCCATGTGGCAAGGCTCATGTGTGAGGTCTCTTCTGTTAACACATGGCCTGTCCTTCTCCCCACTGCTGTTCCACTCCAGTGGGACAGATACTGGTAACAGCTGAAAGCTTTTTCACAGAATAAATGCCAGCAGGACTGTCTCACACTGGAACATCTGTCTCCATCCAGCCTGGGAAGTTCACACCTGGGATGGAAAGACACAGCTTGTTGCTGTCTCTGTTCAAGCAGTGAGGTTCAGATGAAAGCTCAGTCCACATTCACTAGAGGATGAAAGAATTGCCCTTTTATCCATCTGGTGGGGATTATTTTCAACTAATCAGGAGATAAGGATATAAGGTAGATATTTTCAAGACTTCTTTTTCCAACTTTAGTTCACCAGCACTCAGTCAAAGGAAATGGGGTAATTGAAATGAGAGGCACAAAACACTTTGAGAATGTCTTCCCAGCTCTTACTCCTGCAAGGAAACTTCTGGAGGACAGTTTCTTTCTCCCCACAGCAAGCTGATATGATGGAAACACAACCAGCTGTCTGAGGACCAGCAGAAGAAGGGTGCCTTCCTCAAGCCATTCAACCCCCAAAATACAACAGAAGGAATACACCCTTCTTCAAGCATTGCCACCCCAATCTACCACATGATTCAACCCTGGGATAGCAAATTCTAGCAAGTGCAGAGTTCTAGGACATGCATCTCCATCTTGACTACAGCTGATGACTGCAAATGGGACATACATGGCCTTACAAATTGTATAAAGCAAGCTGTACTGGTATTTAAGTAGCTTGAGTGAGTGCAGTACAGTCAAGCTGCAAAGAACCGCTCTCTTGAGAGCTCCTGGCAGCAGAGTGATACATCCCAAGAGTCTGAAAAGTGCAATTCCTTCCTTTCCCTCTACCAAAGCAAGTGCAGATAGTACCATACCTCCAGAAAATGGCCTGGCCTTGGGATGCCATGGTGACAGCATCTACGGAGACAAGTCAAACACCAGGAGCCTGAAGGTCCCACAGTGTTCAGCACAGCCCCTGCCTGTTCCATGATATATCCTCCCAAGCTGTCCTGCTTAAATAACTGCATGCAGCTGAGGAGTGGTGAGCCCAGGCACGGGACTCTCAGGAATGAGGAAACTCTGAGCATCTCAACTCCCTCCACCCCCAGGGCAGTCATAAGCAGGGAGGCCTGGTTAGACACGGGGGCAACAGGAGAGACCTCCTACACACCCATTTAAGAAACATATCTTATTTAGGACAAAAAATATTACAGCTTGTGGTTGGTAGCCAGGTAATCCTGGGGTTACAGTGCACAAGTGTCCCAGGAGATCTGCAGCTTGGGCCTGTGTCATAACCTGGACTAGCTCAGGTCTCCCTACAAAAATCTCCAACCACTTTCTTGGCACTGGGCAGAGAGGTCCCACCTGCGGGGTCCCTCCTGCCCCATTCACACTGTGAGTCTCCCCTGCCTCTCTGTGCTGTGCTAAGAGGCTCCTACAAGCTCAGCAGTGCTCTCAGAGCCACACAGGTTTGGGAGCAGCCCCTTTTCTGACTGCTGTTTAATCCCACTGAACTCCCTCTGGCCAAACCACCTCTCATCCTCCCCCAAGGCAAGCTCCTGCTGCTCTTAGGTCTGCCAAGGTGGTGCACTTTGGGGCATGTAAAGGAAAGAAACTGGCACTGCAAGGCCCTCCAGGTCTTTACTTCTGGGCTTGGTCTCAGATGAGGCTGGGGGCAGGATGAGCAGCTCTTGGGTTGAGAAGGGCAGAGAGGTTGTGAAAGAGAAGGGAAGGCAGCTTGCACCACCATGTTCAGTTTCCCGAAAGAGAACCTGCGTATCCCGACATCTCCGTCTGGAATGTGTTCCGGGGAGGATGGGAAAAAGGGGATTTTTTTACAGTCTGTAGCTATCTCCAGCAAATTTGGATGGTTAGTGGGAGTGAACAGCTCTCCCATGCAGAGCTGAGGATGCCCAGAGGAACTGGGAACAGTCCAGCACCTAAAAAGCCAAACTACTTTCTCTGTAATAACCAGATGTTATAATCAAGACCAATTAATACTGGTCAGTGGTGATAATCAGAAAAAAATATCATCATTATTTGTCAGCATCCTGCTGATTATTAAGCCTCTCCTAATTGAGCAGTACAGTACAAGAAGCTAAGAATAGCTCTAGGCCACAGTGGCCCGGTGGGAAATGCACATTGAGAAATATCCTGTTGCCCTCTGTGACACTTGATTAATGGCTGTGGTGACACCTGATTTACAGCTGCGTGCGCAGTGGGCAGACAAGGTGTCTCCTTTCCACTCCAGTTAACTCCAGGTCAGCCACGCACACCCCATTGCACAGTCAACAATCAGGTTACTTCCACATTGGAAAAACATGTCTGCTTCTTGGGCACAGGCAGCTCCAGCAGGACCAGGGCCGGTCCCATTCCCCAGGGCAACACCACATTCATTTCTGAGCAGCTCATGCTGGAGCCTACTCCTGTCTGTATGCTCATACTGCAAAAAAGCCCAAGAGGTGGTCAGGATACTTCCCAAAGAAACCAAGGGTTTGTGACTACATGATCTGCCCAGCTCTTACCAATCTTGAATTTATTAGCAAATGCAACCAAATGTGACAGCAGGATCTGGTCCCACATGGTCTGTGAGAGCTGGTGAGCACCTGGGACACATCAGCTGCCTTCACTGAGGAGAAGGCAACAGCAGGCACAAAGTGCTACCAGCTTTGCTGGGCCCAGCAGCTGCTGGTACCCTACAGAAGAGTTCTCCTGCAGGAGCTATTGGTGAAGGAGAAGATGGAGTTGTGGCAAGCTGACCAGCAGCCAAGTTTGACAGAGCATTCCACAGAGGTGTGTGTAGGCAACCAGTAAGCTGAAAGGGATGAAAGCTTTTCTTGGGGTTTGACCCAAAATGTAGGATATCTTTCCAGCCTTATGATCCCACATCTGTAACAATGATGTCAAGAGGTGCTTAAGAAGTACCACAAATGAGAACACTAGTGATCTGGAAGGAGGAGAACTTGACACTGCCTTATTGGCAATATCAGTCCTCAGCCTCACCTGCCTGTGAAGGGAAGCTGGGAGCAGCAGCACTCAGAACAAGCCCTCACTTCTCATAAGAGGGGGTGCTGAGCCACCCTGGGCTGCAAACACACAAAGTGCTCCACACTGCATGTGGATCTGTCCTGACATGGCATTCCCATCAGGTGGTGCACCCCAGTGAAGCACCTTCTGCTGTGGGAAAAAGAAGAAGCCCATCTGAGCCAGAATCTGCTCTGCTCCTGACATCTTCTGGGACAAAATGGACACTGGTGGCACAAGTGCAATCATGTCACCAGCGCGCTTTGCCTCTCAAAGGACAGATACCTTAGCCTGACCCTGACTCTGCAAGCACCCTACATGGAGGCTTTCAGGTTCCAGGCATCCTTCCAGGTTTACCATAGTCTCTTGTTCTTCATGGTTTCTCTTCCAGCTACACTGTTTTCCCTATTGAAGGAGTAAATTCTCTTCTCTTGACTCCAAAAGCCCCTCCTCGTGTTCATTTTTTTTCCCAATTTTGGAGACAGGCAATTTTATCAAGAGCTTTTGTCCTGGGAAAAGAAAAATATCAGTATCTACCAGTGCAGTCCTGTCAGCACTGCATTCATGTTTGTCTTGAAAATACCTTTATTATCTCAAGGACCAGCTGGACACAAATAACATCATATAGCCCAGCAGACTAACTACACTTCCTAATGCACCCCCTGACCCAGGTGTTTACCAACACAGCACTGGAAGCCTATCTTGGGAATGAATGTTGGGGTCCAATGTCAGACTCCAGCAGATCAGAAGGATGTATTCACTTGCAAAGTACTCTGATCTATAAAGACTGAAGCTGCTGTCAAATAATGGGAGGGCACTCCAACCTAGCCCCCCCACACAAAGTGACAAAGGTCATTAAATGTCTTTTATCCAGATGGTTCAAGATATCCTCATGCACAGCCAACACCAAGCTCACAGTGGTAGCTGGCCAATACTTCCTAATCCCTGGGACCAACTGGGCCTTCAAGTCTAACAAGAAGAAAAAATCAATACCAGGGCCTGACCCAAGCTGTTCAAAAACTGCTCTGCCCATGTCAGCTGCAGTTCCATGAAGGGTTTAAATTTCATTGGTGTAATTCTGACAAACAGCTTCTTGGAAAACATCAGCGACAGGGTGTGTAAGGGATACCTAACACAAAGAGAAAACACATTCCTCTGTCTGAGAGGACTAAGATGTTTTTAGTCAGAAATTATGTGCCTAGAAGGTAGTGCTGTCCTTATGTGTTCCCTCTGCAAGACAGCATGGAGGCTCTGAGAAAAAGCAACACACCTAAGGGGTGGATGGAAAGAATTAGAAAGACACAAAAAAATTAGGCATTTGGGTTTATATCACATTCTGCATTGACTCTGTACATAGAAAGGATGAGAAGGAGTTACTATTTGTTCCATTAATAGCTAACTCAAACTAAACTTTTGCTTTGAAATTTCAGACTCAGCAACCTTAAATTGCCTAACTTGAAGATTTAAACTGTCTAGCCTTCCCTGACTGTTTGACAGGGAAGCTTTCTGGATGATTTATGGAAAGCTATAAATAGCATTTGCATTTATAGCAAGGATATCTATCTCCTTTGCTGGGAAGAAGTTCCAAAACTGGCTTTGTAAGATTAACAAACAACAAATGAGAGACTTCTAAGGCTGAGCAAGCAAACAGACAGTGCAGGTTTCTACTATTTACAAGCCAGCTGTCATACTGCAGAAAGCAAGACTTGGTCCTTGCTGTTGACAGTGGAGCAGCATTCCTCTCCCTCCCTGAGTGACCAGCAGTGGGACCTTTGTGCCCAGCTCCTCAGGCAGAATTAGGAGCCCCTAGCCACACACACCTACTGGCAAGGTAACCCTCAGGGCAGTGGTGATCCCAGCCTCAATGACAGAAATGTGCTTTCTAAAGGAAGGTATTCAGGGTGTCTGCTTCACCCAGGCAAGCAGACGGCAGCAGGGTGGCAATTGCCCTTCCAGGGAAGTGCCTCTTCCTCAGCACAGATGCCATTTCCCCAACTGTGGGTTGGTAAATGCCTTGCCAAGGTTGCACAAGGCAAATCCAGGAGTTTTGCTGTGTTTCATCTCCTGTGCTCCAGTTCTGGACAGACAATTGCAACTTGTGTCTGTGAGTCCTACTGATGCTCAGACTGCCCCCAGATCTTCCCTTGGTGAGCTGGGCACTCCCCTGGCTCCCCCACCACCGCCAGCAGCAGCACTGTGTCCCACATCATCTCCGTGGAGAACTAACAGACCAGGTGAATGATACTCTGATTCCTGCTCCTATCAGTGCCAGGAGGTTTTCTGGGCCCTCCTGCAGATACATTACTAACTCACCTGGCCTGTACTTTGCAGGCAGGGTATAATGAGACTACAGTATACCCAGAGGAAGGGTAGGAGTTGCAAACAAAGAGCAGCTCCCAGAAGCATGACTGTCCTATGTGCACACATCCAAGACTGGAATCCAGACGCATATCCAACAGGGAGGCAGAAGCCATATTCAGGTTGCCAAGCCCTTCCAAGGCATGATGACAAACCCTTTGGAATGGGCCCCAATAAGCAGCTTTAACCTCATCAAGAAGGACAGCAGAGGCTGTTGACCCTGCAGAATAGGACACATCTTGACCCTCCTGTGAGGTTACTGCTCAGAATGAGCTTCCCCTTACATCGTGTCCTCACAGGCCACAAGTCCTCAGAAATGTAGGCAGCAGTACAATTCCCAGAATCTTCTCCTTTTTGGGCACAAAAGAACTTTGCATACACACCCCTTGGTGGAACATAAGGCACGGTTTTTATTTTCCCTCATCCCCCCTCTCTCAACTCACACCCATCACACTGTTGGTTGGCAGCAAGGCTGTGCAGGGATCAATCATATGGATCCTCATGGATCGTTTGTGCTCCTGGAGCAGCCAGCAGCAGTGCCCTGGACTCCCAGGAGCTCACCTGGCTGCTCAGAGTGCCACTGTCCTGAGCAAACTCCTCTGTGAGGTGTCACTGGGTGGCCCACACAAACACTCTGAGCTCTCCTTCACTTGTCCACAGCATGACCAGTGGTGGCAGCCAGGGTGACCTTTGTGTCCGTGGCCACAGCCTTGGTACCCACCTGCAAGAGAAGAGGCACCAGCAGCTCAACCCAAAGAGAGCCAGAAAATCCCAGTGTGTTATAGGCATTGGCCCCAGGACTTCTCTAAAGTGTGCTGATGAGAACACAGCATATTCAAAGCCAAAATTGCCAGAACTCCATACATAAAAGAACAACTCAATAGTTGGGGAAAGGTGATGATTTCCGTCCCCCTGCCTGTTGAATAAAGCAACCCCTGGGCATCCAGAACCCCATGCCAGCTGCTTGTGGCTATGGTCAAAGATACAGATCAAGCACAGAAAAAGGAAGAGGTCAGTTCTATTCTAAAAACACACAAAACACATGATGACACATACAGGTGAAGCACAGGGAAGATGGTTGGGATTAAACAAGTAAGGGAGTTGAACTCTTGTCCTAAACATGGAGTGAGGCTTCTCCAGAGTTGGTCACTGTGTCACACAGCCCACAAGCTCCCAACATGCCAGCACTGGAACAGGAACACTGTAGGTGCAATGCTGCTCAGCCTCACTCAGAAGGGCTGAAAGGCTGAGGTGCCCTTCCCCACCTCCTGCACAGCTGGCTCAGGTCCCTGTCTATGGGATGTGCCATAAAGCCCCTCTGTGTGTCCTGCTGCATTTCTCCCTGCTGCAGTCACCCCACCAGAACAGGTGCACGCACAGTCTACCACATTCCTGCTGCATGTCCAAGGTGGGAGCTGGGTGAGAGTATCTCCTCACACCTCCATCCACTAGGGAGGACCTAGTGCAACAAATCCTCCTGATGCCAGCAGCGTGGGGAGAGCTGAGCACCCACCTGGCATGGTCCCACCACAGGCACAGCGAGCGGCTTTCTGGCCTCCGCTGGAGCAGAACGTGCAGCAGTGAAACACCCCCTGGTGCTCACGGAACTTGGGCTTCACCATCAGAGTGAAGGGAGAGCCCTGCAGGGGACAAGCAAACAGAGAGGCTGCTGCAGTGGGCGCTGTCAGATGTGCCTGCATTCTCAGACACCATCTGGGTGACCCTGTCAGTCACAGATCACTAAGCCCAGCCTTGAACTGCTACATGGTAGAAATAATCCTTAGACAGATTTGAAACAAATGCCTAAGAAAAGAAAAGTAGGTAAAGAAGAAGCAGTGCAAGAGAAACAAGAAATGCTACCTGCACATGTTGCCCTTTCACACAGACGCAGACAGCATACAAGCCTGGCTCCTCAGGGCTGTAGGAAATACAGTAGGTCCCATCACCATTATCACACACTGTTGGCTTGACTGCACTGTGAACAGTGGAGAGAAACCCAAGAGGTCAGTGACTGGCAGAAAATTGCTTTAGATGTAAACCAGAGTTTGGCCTAGATTGGCCTAGAGTGGCTTTCACACACCCCTGCTACTGGAAGCTGCAATTACCATACAAAGGAAGTCACAGAAAGCCAGTTGCACTGCAAGGATTTGTAGCAACCTGCACACCAAAAGGCATAAGATGACACATAGCACACTTAGAACTCAGATAGTCCCATCAGATAAGAGCCCACAGAAATGGGGTAAATTCACAGCTTCAGCAAGCAGCTACCTACAGAAAAACCTATTAAGAAGACAGGATATAATAGGGTAAGTTTGAATCACTTTAACCACTCTCCCAACTGCACTGACCCCAACTCTTCCCTTCAATGCTGAGGAGTTCTAGGCCCCTGCTGGCAAACTCTCCCTTTTCCTAGTCAAGCTCCTTGTGTTTCACAGGGAATTCTGGTGAACAGAGTGCTAGAGAGAAAGCCTCAGCTGGTTACTCGGGATAAATTGCCTGCTCCACAGGAAGATGGAAAGCTTTTCACAGACAATTATCAGGCAGCTCTGCATAGAGGAAGGTGTTCTTGCTAATCCCTACTAATTAGTCTCCCGGGCCCCATGACATGACAGTTTATAATCTGTATTCCCCACCCCCAACACTTCACATCAATACAGCTGCCTACATAATTTCCTGCCATGAACTGTGTGGTGATACTTCATGCTCTTCTGCAGCTGTTGTGCCTCAAAGCAAAGCCAGACAGCTTTCAGCAACCCATGCAGCAAGTGCATACAGCCAAGAGCAAGGAACGGAGTTAATGTGGCTACAGCGACCTCTACCCCACCAAGAGAAATCCAGAAATCCCTGGGGCATGCACCTTCCTACATTATGGGTGCACTTATGGAAAGAAGGTGCATTGGAACAATACTCTTGGACAATGATGCTCTATTGATAAGCATCTGTGCAGCCAGCACTGCTTCTATGTGCTTTGTCAACACAGCAAAGGGTTTTAGCATCCCGTCCCTTTTTTTCACCAGGTCATCCCATCATGAGTGTTTCTGGCACAAATTAATGCTGGCATCTGGTTCCAGCTACTATAAAACAATAGATGTTTTTCTTAAGAACTAACCCCCAACTGAGTCTGCTTTTGTGCCTGGCTACTCTTTAGGGAAAGTGTGGTTTGGAAACAGTTTTAATTTTTTCTGGTTGTTCATTTTCCTTGTGGAAACACTGAGGAGCTCAAGTGCAGCCTTTCCTGGTTTTGCTAGAAAACCTTCAAACCTCTTACAGTACTCAATGCTTTCAACCACAGGAAAAAGTACAAAAGCACAACACAGATTCTTTCTCCAGACCATGAAGAAGGCACTCCCATCAGCTGTCAGAGGCTCACGGTGCTGGTGAACTGTCTGACTCGTGACTGTCATCCAGGGGTTGCAATGACTTACACTGATTAGGCATTAACAAAAGCAGGAGCCCCAGGTATCTGCTGGGAGCAGTGAGAAGGAACAACAGCTCCCTCTGCCTAGCAACACACACAAGGAGTTGAATCCTTTAAGAACCTCAAATCACTGAAAGACTTAATACAAATCTCTGTCAGCAAATCTCAGCAATCACTGTCCAAGCCAAACACAACCACTAGGAAGCAGTATGGGAAAGAGTAGTGCCTTTTCCTCTGCAGATTCTGACCCTCATGCTGAAGAACATCCCCCCATCCGCCTAAGCAAGCAGGGAGCCAGGATAAGGGAGGCAGAAAGGCTAAGCCAGGGATTTCTTGGGTGAGATACCCACCAGTCCCTCTTGTCCTTGTGGGTGATGGTGACCCGCACAGCCTCTCCTCCCCGCCCCAGGCGCTCCCCCGCAGTGTCCCTGCACAGCAGGGTAAAGCCACTCAGCTGGTTCTGACGGGCACTGTGGAGATCTGGGGAAAAAACAAACACCAAACCAGAAAGAAACAGAACTACAAAGGATTCAAGTCAAGCCATGACTGCCACCTCCCATCTATTTTGCAGAGTTGCAGCCCCATCAGAGCACAGCCAGGACTTTGCTTCCAGGTTTTACAGCTCCTTCCACTCAGAGGGAAAAGTCAACATAACTCTGGGTATCAGGAGAGAGTGGGAGCCATGAGTTCTGAGAGATGTCTGGCAGGTTTAGCCCAGAGATCTGCACAGACCATGGAGGTCTTTTTGTCTGTCACTCTAAGCCCAGCTGGCACCTTCCCAAGAAGGCCTCAAGATGCTCCATGCAACCCAGAGGAAGAAAGAACAGCCCCACCGTGCCCCAGGGAACTCAACACCTACAGTTTGGCATGGAAGGGACTGAACAAGTTCTGGGTCTGTCTCATCTGCCCTGCACAGACCATTACTGACCAGAGCTGGCTGTGCTCTGTGCGATGGTCTGAACATTATCTGTTTGCTGGCCCAGCTCCAAGTCCTTAGGGAGCAAATATCCATAAAACCATCAAGATACTGCCAGGTATTCCTAGAGCAATCTCAGCAGAAGCTGTAATGGGAAAAACTTAATCAGCCACAAAGGGGATCTGCCTGGGCTCATGCTGCAGAACAGCCTGGAGCACCAGCAAAGCATCACAACCTGCTATTGCAGGTGCCATTCCCATCCCCTGAGAGAGCCCTCCAACCCAAAGTGAGCCAGAGAATCCCAGTGTGTTACAGGCTTTGGCTGAGGCTCATGCTGAGGCTGCTGATGTTGTGGAGGGCAGTGCCATATGCTCTGCACATCTGAATGAGAAAAGCTGCCTGGTTCCCTGCCCAGCACAGCTCCCATAGGCAGGCAGTGCAACCTCTGCTGGGGCTCTACCTCTGCCCTGGTCAATGTCTGGACAGCAGGGAGCCAGCAGTGCCAGAAGCTGCACAGCATGTGGCTACAGAGAGCAGAGGGGTGACTTCAGGGAGCAGTGCACTCCCACTCAGCTGCTGTACAGCACCCCATTACCTTCCCCATGCAGGGTACATCTGGCTGGATCAACCACTTTATTAAGAATGGCCCCAAAAACTTCATAGCCACAACACTGCCCTGCCCTCTCGTGGGGGGAGAAGTGGATCCTGTCATCCACACTGGGGTGGGTGCTGTAAGCAATGCTGTTGAGCTGTGTCAGACGGCTGGACACCACCCCTTTGGAGACGAGGATCTCCACATCTGAGCCGCTCATCAGCAAGTGCTCCGTGAACTCCACACCTGTCCTCATGTCCAGCAGCAGCTGCTGCAGCTGGGCCTTCTGCAAGTGCAGCAGGTTTTCCTTCTGCACCTTCAAGTCCTCCAGCTGCTTCAGCAGCCGGTCCCGGTGCTCTTCAATGGCTTTTACATAGCCCCTGGCAAAGAGGCAGATCTCCGCGGCCACAGCCTCTGCGCGACTGCGGACAGCGCCGCCCATCTCATCGACCTGGCTCAGCACATCCTCCAGGGTGTCCAAGTGCTGCTGGCTGCTCTGCAGCAGCTCCCGCAGGGCGTCCCCGTGCCTGTGGATGACATTGGCGGCGAAGTCACAGGGGTGCTGACGGTGTCTGCCCAGGACGCAGTCCCGGCACACGGGCTGGTCACACTGCTCGCAGAACAGCTGCAGCTCCTCTGTGGGATGGGAGGGGCACGGGAGAGGCTTCCCGGCCTGGCTGCAATCCTTGGTGTTCTCCAGCTCTGTCACAGCATGGGAGGCCGTTTTCTTCTGTCTCCTAGGCAGGAGCAAACACCAATCAATTTATGCATGTTGGATACAAAACACAAAAACTGAGACCCTTTGCAAATGCCTATTTGCAACGGGCTGCAAGTCATAGTGTGCACTGCTCCCTCCTGTCTCCAGTGAAATTTCCTGAAAGGACTTGTGCTCTCCCAAGAACTAGGCTGCACACAAAGGAGGATCTTGTTAGGGGCTGCTCCCAAGCTCCCGGATTCCCCCTGACTGCATGGTCAGCCCGGATTTCAGACACAAGGCAAGTGAGCTCTAATATCCCTTAGGGGAAAATCTAGTTCAGGCCACTGCCAGAAGACAAACAGCAAAACATTTAATATTCCAAAAGTCAAACTCAGATTCCTTCTGCTTGCCAGGTTAGGTCCTGCTCAGAAGAGACCAAAGATGGGACACAAAGAACCTGTTATAAGCCAGACATCTACCATGTCACAGGGCAGCACTAGAATATTTCCATTCTCTGCTATTTTGGACACTGGGAGTTAGTTTTTGAGAAGGATGTAAAACCCCCCTCTCCTAATTTGTCTCCTGCACTAATGACTTGTGGCAGTGCAATGGGAGCTCCAAGCCATAACCAAAGACACTCCAAGGACCAAGCTCTGCAGAGTTGCTCTGGTAACACAAAGCAACCTCACCACAGGCTCTTATGCTTCTCCTTTTGCTTCCCACTAACCTCCCTTAGATCCATCACATTTTCAAAGCCTTCCAGTGTTGTGTGACTTCAGCCTAAGATCTTTCTCACTTGTTCCAAGGAGCACAACCATGGCACTCAGAACCATAGAAACCGTCCCTACACACCAGGAAATCCTTTCAAAATGGTTTTCCTCAGCCCTTGTTCTGCTCTGACATCAACTAAATCAAGTGACAGTCTGTAGATGCCAGTGGGGTGAAAAAATGATAGCAGTAAATACTATAGGAAGAGGGTCACATGGACAAATTTTCTGCTGCTTTCTCCCTTCTGCAGTTATCCCTGGCAGAGCAGCAGGCTGCTATTCAAGGTCTCTTATCACTCTTCAGCAGCTCCACGGGGGGGGGGGGGGGGTACGAGGCATTAGCTAATCAGAATGGTATGCTGAAAATTACACCCGGAGTGGAAAGGTAACTAAGAGCCTAAACTATTTTCCCCACAGGCACTACTATGTGCAGGGGGGCAGGGCAGGGAGGAATATGTCTCAGTTCCTTCTGGGGAAAGAATTTGCTAATCAAGCAGAAAGGAGCAGCAAACATGGAGGGAATAGGCTGAGTTGCTTAACCCAGGCTGAGGCTTCCCTGGCTTGTGCTGTTGGGTGTTTTTCTGACCCTGCCTGTCACCTCCTTCCTTCAGAAGGCCATTCAGGCTTTACATCACTTTTCTTTAGTGCTGTCTGTCCTCTGCCTGGCTTACAGGCCACTGCACCCCTCTCCTCTTCAGCTCCTAACTCTGCTGCAGTTACCTCTTGTTTCTGCAATAATTCTACAACATGTAGCAGGCAAGCACACGGGTTGATCATCAACAGGTAGCAACCACACTAGGCAGGACTTCCACAGGACTTTGAGTTGCCTAAGGGTGCCTTTACACACAGTAAATGGTCCTGCAGGTGGAGAGAGGCAGAGCAGCAACTCAACGTTCCCCTTTTCCTTTGGGGGAGATGTGTCTTTTCCAAAGCGGGACAGTACAGCATGTGAGACTCTTGTCCTGCTGGTACCTGCCCATAGCCCTGCCTGTTGCCCAGTGACACTAAACTGAGGTGCTACCCAGCATGGGAACACCACTACAGGCAAAGGGTGGCCTGATTTTGGACGCAATGGCCAATAACATGGCTGATGGACCTATTCCCAGGAAGTTCAAGAAGTGTTTGGACAACACTCACAGGCTCATGACATTCCTGGGGCTGTCTTGGGCCAGGACTTGGACTCGACGATCCTTGTAGGTCCCTTCCAATTCCAGACATTCTATGATTCCATGCTAGCAGCTTGCTTGTCCCCACCCGAGTACAGAGCATCCCTGCGGACATCCTCTGGCCAGGGGTGGTGAGCGGTGGGTAAAAACGGGGAGACACGCCAATTCTTGCTCCGGCTCGCCCTGAGCGGGTCCCTGCCCGCTGCGCCCTCCCCCGGCCGCGGTGTCCCGGTGTCCCCGTCCCGCCGCCGCTCACCTGTGCGCCCGGCAGCAGAAGCGGCAGAGGCGGAGGCCGCAGGTCAGGCACCGCCCGGCCGCCGCCCCGTCGGCGCAGAGGTCGCACCCAGCAGCGGCCCGGCCGCGGCTCCCGGCCAGGCAGTCGGGGGGGAGCTGCCCCACGCCGCCGGCCGGCAGCGACAGCTCGGCGTCGCACACCGGGCACAGGACGGGGCGGGCGGCGCCCGGCGGCCCCTCCGGCGGCCCGAGCCGCCGCAGGCAGGGCTCGCACAGCGAGTGCAGGCAGGGCAGCAGCCGCGGCGACACGCAGGGCTGGGCGCACTGCGGGCAGCGCGGCCCCGACATGCCGGCAGCCCGCGCGGCCCCTCACGGCCGCTCCGCCGAGCATTCCCGTCGGGAACGCCTCGCGCCGCCTCACACCGCGGGCTCCTTCCCCGCCCCGGCGCCGCCCGCCCCGTGAGGAGCGCGGGGGCCGCACTGTGAGGGGCGGGGGCTTCCCGGGGACCCTGCTGCTGCTGTCCCCGCCGCTCCTCCTCCGGGGAAGGCGGCCGGAGGGAGCTGGCAGCGCCCTTTGTCCTCGTCCCCCTCACCGAGGCGCGGAGGGACGGACCCGCTGCTCCCCTCCTCTGGCACCTGCGGGGCCGTCTCCGCCGGTTGTGTGGGAAACGGCCCCTTCCCACCCACCGCCGGCAGATCATGTTTCCACTTCTAGTTCCAAACTTCCAGGTTTACCGCCTGACTGGCCACTGCAGCCTCTTTGTCGGTCTGCTGGATGCCTTCAAACATTGGGAGTTTTTCCTTCGGATCACTGGAGAGCTGAGCGAGAGCGGTAAAACTTTACCTGAGATGGTGCAAGGCGGCCGGGCTTCCCTGCGACTGCCCACCGGGACGGGCTGGGCTGGTGGCTGTCCTCAGTCACTGCACCGGGAATTGGGAATACTGCAAAAGGCAGGCTTGGAAAGCCCAGTGTCCGTGAAGCCCTGCATGATGCCCCGTGGACTTTGATGGCATCTACACGGTTGTCTTTATCAGTCTGATGTGTAAGCTCTTCAAAGACTGAAACCAATTCTTCTTGTTTTGAAAAGCGCTCTTTTCTATAAAGTGTCCTCTAGAGTACTGCATTCAGCCCTTAATAATTGAACTTTTTACCAGCCTCTCCATTAGCTTGCCCAGGACATTCAGTATCTTACCTGTCCCATCCTGCTGGCCGTTTTCAATATAATGTAATGTGAAGAGCATTTGAGACTTCTGGAGTTTCAGTTCCTTAAGTCAAAAATCAACAGCCAGGAAGATTCCCAGCCAGGTTTTTGTTTTTAGAACCAAATGGACCTCTCTGTCCCTTTACAGAGCAGTAGATAAATACTTAATATCTGTATATAACACAAGTAAATATTTCCTCTGTAACAGATGTTAATGCCACTCTGATGCCCAATGGCTTAACACAGAAATCATCTTCTTCTTCTGATACACTCAAAACATTTCTGTGTCTTTTATGTTGTAATACAAGATCAAAGTTTTAGGTCATGATGAAGTGTTTTCAACCTCAAAGCCAATCAAAAGAAGAAAGATGTTCCAATAGCCTTCTTCACATTAACTATTAGCAAGTGCAGTAGCTGTGGAGGTTAGAGAGGATAAAAGCTGCAGTAATTGTGAGAGAAGATTACTTGATAACAATATTCAATATTGTCACAAAGAAAGACTGGTTCTTCTAATCATGCTGGAGGAAAGAATAGTAAATGGCCCTGTAAACGTGGGTGTGGGAAGAAAACAGGGGAAGAGTCATAATGTCACCTTTGTGCAGAAAAGATCAGCTACCTAGAGAACAGCAGCATCTTCCATCGCTGCAGAGAGATGGTGGAATAAGCCATGACTGGCCGTGGCAGAGGAAATCTGAGGATCCAGCCCAGCTGATCTGATCACCTGCCCTGCCACTGATCAGGTTGGAGCACAGATTGCTGCTGAGTGATGCATTTATGAGTAACAACACAAAGCAGGAGCACTCTCAGGGTGATTAGAAGAAATTGTAGTGAAATGGGCTGGAGAGAATCAAGGGAGCCCTGTGAGACTTGGGGAAAGAAAGGAAAAGCAGAAATCCAGAAAAAAAACAAACCAAAAACTGAACCCTCAAAACAGGAGCTGCATTAGTACAAACTCATGATTCCCTTTGGTTACTTTCCCCATAATACTGCTTTCTTGGGTACTGTCAGCCAACAAGGGAAGCCCCTGTGCCACTACATCCTAAATTGTGGAAGGCAACTCAATGGACATGAAAACTGGAGCTCTGTGAATATCTCCAATTAAGCACATTGGTCTGCAAAGCACTGCAAGAACTTGACTGAGAGACCCTCTCCCATCTTGGATTATTCAGTTTGCTTTGTAACTGATCAAAATTTACAGATGAAGAATCCAATGTGTTAATTTCTATACACTGGAGGGCAATAAAGGAGCATAGTAACATAAATAGAGCAATGAAAATGTCATTAAAATTAAGCCAGTGTTTTCCTTTTTCCATAAGAGTTGATGGATAGCTAATTATTCTCATTTGACCCAAGATCTACTTGAAATTAAGTCCTCTTTAAACTTGTTTTCCTGCCCCTATTGTTAATAATGCCTATCAAAACCTCCCAGAGTAGTTGCTCTGAGTGATCTGGTCTTCCCCCACTTTACTTTCACTGCCAGCTCCTACCTCTTTTTCCTGTTTATCTGCTTCTCATTTCCTATGATTAAGCTCTAGATCATTACACTGAGATATGGAATATTTGTTTCCTTCTCCCTTCTTGTCAAGGACTTCTGACTAATATTTCCATTGTATCTCCTAATTAGCCTCTTCTGGGGAAAGCTTTATGCTGCTTTCCCATTAATATTTTTATGAAGGAATATTGGTAAAACTTTTTATAGCATGTTCAAAAAAATCTTTAAAGCATAATGTCCCTCCTAGATTCTGTAAGTGGTGTCGGTATGGTCCGTTTATTAAATTTTGAATTGGATGCCTCATGCTTCCCTGAACCTATTTACTCTGGTAATTTTAGGGAGTTCTTTCCAGATATCCTGCCATAAGAAACAAACTGAAAAAGTGGTGAAACGGAAGTCATTAGTGAACAGGACTGAAGAAAAGTCCCAGATGACTTGACAGAAACCTGAGAACTTGTCAAAGTGGCAGAGCTTAGCTTAATGGCAGCCAGAGGAGTGTGGAAAATTACTTATTTGGGGAATTTACAAAGAAAAGACAAGTAGAAAATACTGTTGGCTTTTTTCCTGCTGACCAACAAGAGCAGTTTAGCTGTGAATTTGTCAGCCCTGGGAAGTACTGTGTTTCAGAGACTTCTCTGAATGTGGCAGAGCTGCCAGGCTTGGTCTGGGAGTACTTGATGCACCACTACCCAGCTGACAGCTCTTCCCCTATATATCAACCTCAACCAAAAAATCCAACAAAGGATTTACAACATCTCCCAATTTAGGCAGAACCTCTCCCTCAGTCAGCTAAAGATGCATTTGAAATTATGTGGCAATTGAATGGTGAGAGGAGCATTTCTGTGAGGCACAGAGGCTGGTGTCATCCCCAGCCCTCACTTTCTGCATCCAGCCTGATGCCCATGGTCTCATCACACTATGGGTAAAAAATTTCTTCCTAACATCTAACCTCTCCTTTTTTTAGTTTGAAGCCATGGATGTTTTAAAAAGAGGCACCCTTTGACCTTTACTTGTGCTGGGCCTCAAACACACACAAGTAAATTGCCCCAAGCCCAAGTCTCACATGACAAAATTTCTGCAAGCTGATGGCACATGGGGGAATGTGACAGCTGCAGCAGAAGGACAACACTGATCTCCTGCTTGGGAACACCACTTGGGACAGACAGAGAGAGAAGACTTCTGTCCTGGGATATCTCACAGATTTTCTACAAAGCATTCCTAGGGGAACTCACTCTTCAGAGAAACACCTTCACTACCAAACGTCTCCCTTCACACATATACACTTACATTTGCCAGTAGCTTTTAGTCTTCAGGCTTGTGTTGAGCTTTGAAGACAAAACTAAACTGAATCTCAAGTTACCTCATTTAACATAAGCCCCTGTATCTTCATTTTCATGCTGGACTCCAAAGTACATTTCTGTCAGCTGCTGCTGTCACACATCAAACCTGTGCTCCAGCAGGACTTCAGCCACGGCAGTGTGACCTGGGAGAGGTGACGGAGGAAGGCAGCCAAACAGCACACCTGGCAGCCTAAACTTCTGCCACTCAGTGAATAATGGGAGGTTTGCCATCATCACACATGGACTTGGCTTAACCCTGAAACAGCAAACAGGAAGTGGACAGGGCATGGAGATGGGCTAACACTTGAAACATAGAAAGAAAGCAGCAAAAGATGTGTGATCTCTCTTGTCCTCCAGATTTGTGACAGGAAACACAGTCTGAAGTGGTCAAGCATTATCCCTTTCAGTTGGCAGCAGCAGCTCTTTGAAGACCAAAGCAGCTGCAGCCAAACCACCCAGCAACACAGCATTTGTGCAGACGCCCTTGCTGTGGCTTCTGACCAGACATTCCTGTTTTCCCCTCCTGCCTGCAGCTTTCCACCACCTGCTGCCACTTTCAGCTTTCTGCTGCTATATATATTCTTTTTAATCTCTCCTGAATCCTGCCTACATTTTCTGAAGAGAAGATGAAACTGGATTTCTTCCAAGGAGGCTTTTCTAAGGAAGCAAATTCTTTGTGATGTCAGCCCAATAATCTTTTTTAGCTTCCCTTCAGCCATATTTGAGAGAGGGAAGTGATGTGAAAGGCTCTAAGTTTCTACATGCAAAAGATCATAGAATCATTGAATACTCAGAATTGGAAAGGACCCACAAGGATCATTGAATTCCAACTCCTGGCCCTGCACAGGACAGCCCCAAGAACCACACCATGTACCCAAGAATATTGTCCCATCACTTTTTGAACTCTGTCAGGCTTGGTGCTGTGCCCACTTAATACCGATGCTGAGAAGACAAATGGAGTTGGTTTTTTTTCTTTTCCTTCAGTGCTGGGACCACAAGACAGAAGGATATTACAATAGGGTACTTCACTGAGATGGAGCTAAGAATAAAAACCTGGCTCTTGCTGCAGGGCAGCGAGAGCAGGGAATTCACTTAGATGAGACTTGAGGTCAGTATGAGGCCTGACCAAGCATGCTTTCATGCATACATGTACACACAAAGAAATATAAAATCTGATTGCCTGCAACAGGTGTGCAGGAAGACTAGTTCCCTGCAGGAGCAGATGTCAGTCTCATGAGAGTGAGCATTTTGTTTCAGACAGGTACAGGCCAGCCTGCTTATCAAGCAGCAAAGCTTGAATTGGTGAGTTGAATT